ATCTGCATTATGTATAATCTTAGGAGTTAACTTTTTTTTGTTTTTCTAAACCAATTAGGTATCTTGAAGTTTTGTTTTAGTTTGCCTGTTTCTTCATATAATCCCTAAGTGACTCCATGACGTTTATATCAAGAAGCTGTGGGGAGCCCACCATCTGTTGCAGAGCTTTTTCTTTCCTGTCAACGAAGAAAGCTCTTTATCATTATAGCTGCATGCTTTGATTCCATTGTCATTATTCAGAATCAATTTGGAACTGATCAAATGCTTCACTGTTGGCACTGTTTGACTTAAAAAAAATTGTAAGTGACCTATTTTTTTTTTGCATTGTCTTATAATTTAAGGGTAAAGCACAAAGTAAAAAAAAAACACAAAGTTTCACAAAATGCTGTTTGGGAGCACTATGTCCCAATGTGCATTCATTGCAATTTTTAAACACATTGTATTTAATGTAGTTATTATTTGAAACGTCTTCAGAATCAATTGGAAGGCTCCACTGACATTTACAAAGTCATTTACTCTAGACAGATCCCATCTCACTGCAAGTTCTGGGTGTCAGAACTTTTATCCAAAATAAATATTTAGTAGATCCTCTAAAATAATAACCTTAAACCTTATGTTGTGTTCCAGTCAATTTTAACTGAAATAAAAGTTTTATCTCTGAAAATTGTAGTTAAATTATTCAGACTTCTTCAGTCTGAGGAGTTGTAGGTAAATTCAGCTTCATAAGCAGTACTTTCACATGGTGGACAAACAAGTTTAATGATGACAATCAAAACGGGTTGTTCAAATGCAAAACAGGACAATCAGCCTAACAACTGATTGTTAGTGCTCTGCTTATCACCTTTGTTCACAAAGGGCTGAGTCATACTCACAACAACATCATTGAGTCTCTTGGAGAAGAGACAAAACATTTTTCAACAAAGAAGAACCCGTACAGAGGGCATACTCTTTTTTTTACAACATAAATTGTACTGATGATGGACGAGTGTCTCTTAGCTTTTAGGGGACACTGCCCTTTCAAGCAGTTTTTGCCAAGCGAGCCATCTAAATATGGCATAAAGATATGGGCAATGTGTTATTTTTTATGGTCAGTCTTGGTGGAATGGTCATTTCTGACTGGATACACAAAATTGTTTAACATGAAATGAACACAACTATAATCAACTACAGTAGGAAGTCCCTGCTGGAAACACAAAATGGGAGATTTTACACAAGCAGAGAACATTCCCTGGTTATACATTAAGTATTTACATACTGAAAAACTGATATTGAGTTAATCTGCCTCAACCTTTTTTCATTAAGCCCTTTTTGTCTTAGTTTTATGGTAATGTTTGATGTCAGTAAAAGCTGAATAGCATATTAGGGAACACAAAAACTGCTCCAGTCACTCTCCTTATAGTCATTGCCCTCTTGATAATCACAATTAAATGTTTTGCTGCTAATCACTTCATTATGTTCAATGGCTCATTGCAAAAACTGGCTATGCACATATGCACAGCAATATTGTAGCTACTGACCCATAATTCAAATGGGACAATGGCCCAACAAATATTGTGTATATGTTGCTGTAGCTGTACATAAGATATTCCATTCATTTCCTGTCCTCTGTCAAGTTAATGACCAAACGTTAGTGTCAATACAAAGCTGTATTAAATCCATATACTTAGAATCACAAATTATTTGAGCATTCCCCTAACCATACAGTCATATCCACAGCCATCCTATTCTACACTGAGCCTAAGGCATACATTAGCATAAAGCAGCAGTGTCTCGCGAGATGCAGTGAAAATTTTTAGTTTGATTAACGTGAATATACTTCCCAATAATGTGTCTAAGATTGGCACATTCATCTAGCCTAATTTGATTGTTGCTTACTCCTATTATGAGTTTAAAAAATGCAAAGCAATTGGAGTATAATGAGTTTGTATTTTCTAGAGAGTGAGGTATTTGTTTTGCAGTGTGTTTTCCTCTAAGGATAAATCTTTCAATACAACATTCTAATTATGCCTTTGCTTAATGTAAACATTGATTAGTGCAATTTTAAGTGTGCTACTCTTAAACTTAATTGAATTGATCAGTGGCAAATAGATTGAAATTGCATAACTCAACATTCTCCCAAAACAATCTGTTTAGAAAGAAAAAAATGCAGGAGCTTTTTTTTATTTAGAAAATAGTAATTGTTTTTCTTATTGTCAATGAGGGTCATTATCGATGACTTGTGGAATGCTGGAAATTTAATCATCGCAAACTAAATGACTCAAGTCTCCTCTCTGACCAGTATGCTTTTTGATTTACTGCTTAAGTGGCTCATATCACAGTGTCATTTGTTAATGTCCTTGACTATGCAGATTAAGCATACAAACACATGCAAATAGGCTTCTACTTTTGCCAATTTGGATTAATACAAGCAACAAAAACCCATTTATATTCAGCCTCAGTTGCTAATACGTTTGAAAAAAAAAAAGGAATGTTTTATGCAAATTAGTGATTAAACCTTTTTTTATTGGATCAATTTGCATATATTTCCAGAATTGATTTGGCTTGGCCAGCACATTGTTTCATTGAAAGTGTCTATAATTTTATTTCATTATTTATAAAAAAGTTACATTTATAATTTTCTGCTGAATTCTGACCAGGTTCTTACATTTTTCTTGTCTGGACTGACGGGTTTGTTTACATTGTACCAAAAGAAAGTTCCAATTTCTAACATTTTTTTTTAATTCAGGTTATCTGGCACAGAATAAAGTCAAAGCGAAACAGAGTCCAGTTTTAACAGAATGTAGTGTTTTTTTTCTAAATTTAAGTATATAGGTGTCTAACGTATCCTTAAATAAAACATTGTTTTGCTCAAAAGCTACTTTAATGATTGACTGTTTCCTACCACCAACATTTAAAAGAAAAAAAAATGCCTCCTGTTGTGATTTCCCAGAACACGTAGCCAGCCTACACATTGAGAATGAAGAGTTCTGTTAAAAAATAAATAGTCAGGTACATAAGTAAAGATGTAAGTTGGAAGACAAAGTCTTCAAATTCTATCCATAATTTTACAGTTACCCTTTAGCAGCATGTACAACCTAAACTGAAGGCTTTTAGTGTACTTTTTGGAACACCCTGATTATAAGTCTAGACTAGAAAAAAAAATGCATGAACTAGTTTTAACATTTACCTTGAAGTAGATTGTCCAGTTTGTTTTCTCTAATTTCATAATTTTCTGACTAAGGCAGTCATTCATTATTTTTAAATAAATCCATCTCCGGTGGCAAATTGCAGCCGTCTGACTCCCCGTACCATCATCTTGACATTTTCATAACTCAGTTTGACATTTTCCAAATTGCTAAATTTATCTCATTTTTATTCATTTTGTTGCCCTGCTGCTAGCATCAAATTAGTGATGCAAAGAAGGTAAATTGCACATGCTGAACATGGAAGGGCATGCCCTAAAGTCATACCTGTGGCCTCATCTCTTATGTCTCTGCTCTAAATTCTCTTTATAGTTACCTTTAAAAATGCAAACGAATAGCACGAGACATGGAGTAGGTCAAAACATGACAGGAACCATCTTTTGGCTCATCTCACAAAGAAGGTACCAAACTGAGAATTGCTCTTGAACTCTCCTGTGTTTGTACAGGCTGTGTGCTTTTGACTTGCAGTGACTTTGATCCATATTCTACATCTTGACAGGATTCTCTGACTCTTCTCCTGCCTTCCCTTCTCTCCCTTTGACGTTCACCCTGTCGCAGACTTCCTCCCTTTCAAGTGTCTGTCTGATTCGGTTTCTGTCCTCTCTGCTAACCTCTCCTCAGGGCAGGATCATTGCCCCTCTTCTGTCCATCTTGTACCATCTCTCCACCCTCTGTAGGCGTAGATGTTGCCATATCTCTTTACCCCATGGAGTGTCTCAGAAGTCATTAAAATCAGAGAGGAAAAGGGGCTGCATGGAAGTACTCATGTGACCTAACCCAGTCAGCTGGTATCTCTTCTCGAGTAAATGTACAGCATGACAGGGTATTCTGACATTGGTGACGTTTTGGGCTTCCATAGAGTGTGAGCAAAAGTAATTTCCACTTTGGTCGGATTCTAGGTTTGTAATGAATATTGTACGAGTCCTGATCTCACTGCTAACATATCACATTGCCAGACAGGTTCAACACTCGGCCAATACTAAGACTTATTTTCTACCTAAAACAGTATTTTCGTTTTATTTTTTGGGTTTTGTTTTTTTTTAGCTTTCATTTTGATGTGGACTAACCATGCCATTTTGAAACATCCACCAATGACAAAATGAAAAACAAAATCTCAAATTCAGTCAAGTTTTCAAGGTCAGACAGTACTTGTTTCAAAACTGCAAAGGCAAAATAACAACACAGGGCTCAATGGACTGGAGATGGATGTGGTTCTGTTGTTACATTACCAGGCAACCTCGCTTTAGTAAACAGGAAGAATTTCACAAAATGGTCTAAAGAAGAGGTTATTCATTATTTATTTGAGCTTTTTCCCATGGTTTCAAGTGTTTGTCAGTAATCATAAAGTGATGTGTAAAGCCAAGTCAACCAAATGTTGCCTCTTATTTATCACTGAAACACATCACATCTAATTAAAGTATGTTCTAATCTGCAAATGTCTAAACTACTCCCTAAAAAAACAAAAACAAAAAAATTAAAATGATGTTTCTAGCTGCCTAGAGATTCATTGTGTTCCTGTTTATAGAAATCAGTTTAAGTACCATGGTTTGTACTCTTTTTTTTCAAGGTGAAATGGTTGCCATCAGAGCTACTAGCATTTAAAACATTGTAGGCAGTATTCAGCAACTTTCTAGCTGCAACCTTTTCAAAATCTTGCTTTTGGCATCATGACTTTGACTTTGATCCTATATTCTACTTGGCAAGAGTTTCTGACTCTGTTCCCACTTTTGACGCTTTCTGCTCTCTCTCTCTGCCTTTGTCTTTCTTCTCCCTCCCTGTTTTCTGTCTCTGCTCCAAATGCTACCCATCTCCCCTCAGGGTGGGATGATTGCCCTTCTGCTGTCCGTCCTGTGCCTTGTCCTGATCCTGTACACTCGCAGGCGCTGGTGTAAACGCCGCCGCATCCCTCAGCCCCAGAAGAGCGCCAGCGCCGAGGCAGCTAATGAGATCCACTACATCCCGTCAGTACTGATGGGAGGGCAGGCCCGGGAAAGCTTAAGGAACTCGAGAGGTCAGGGGCCAAACTCCAGTGGCACCCTCAGCATCCGGGAGACACCGATTTTGGACGGGTAAAAGTCTGAATAGGCAGACTATGTGGGAGTGGTTAATTCTAATCTGGAGCAGTCTGAAACAGGCTGCAATAAAGCTACAGTGCACTTTCTGATACACTTATAAAAATCTCTAACGCTCCATCAAATCACCACTTGGGACAATAATTCAAATTCTTTAGGCCAACATAAAGAAACTCTAACTAAGTTCAACCTGATCCGCAGATATGAGTACGACATCACGGACCTTCGTCACCATTTGCAGAGAGAGTGCATGAATGGTGGGGAGGAATATGCCAGCCAAGTGACCCGAACTCTGGACTCTCTTCAAGGCTGCAACGACAAGAATAACATGGACCTGACACCTGGTAAGTAATCTGCACAAACAACCTGAACAGACAGAAAAGGGAACAAGACCAAACCTTCTACAGATGGCAGATTTTCATTAGCAAAAATTCAGTTTGGTGTATGTATGTGTGTATGTACACTCACCGGCCACTTTATTAGGTACACCAC